AAGGTGATGGTTTTAAAGAGAGAAAAATGAGCAGTTGCACCCGTTGGGGAAGGAACATTGGTGGCTGTACAGAATATCATAGTTGGGAGTAGCACTCTTGGAAGGCGTCTCCAACGCGGGAAGTTAGTTGTTAGCGATTAGCGAAGTGGTGTTTTTAGTTAGTTTTTATTTTTAAGTTAAGGGTATTTAAGTAATTTAACTTTCAAGTTTGTGATTTCATGCTTTTAAGTTAGTATAGATATAGATAGATGTATAGTGAGGTAATTTTATAAGTCAGCCAAATTGTTAGTTTTGGTTATATGTCCTGCACCTGCATGTTTAGTTAATCTTTGGGATGATGTCACTTTGAACCATTGTTAATGCCCCATTCTCTTTTTTTGGAGGAAAGGAGCTAAATCAATTGCAAGTCTTGATAATTATGCAATTGAAATTCATAATAGGCGTCATTTTGAAGGGTGCAAGCTGAAAACCTCCTAATAATCGGTTGATTTTTATGCTTCTAGGTTTCCAAGTGTCTTTTAATGCAATTATTGTAATTAAGTAATAACTTCTAAAAGCTTTTGTTATGAACTTACCAGGTCATTCTTGCATCTACTTCTCATTTTAATTTATGTTTATTGGCTAGTATTTTGTTATTATACATCAATAAACCCATGGTTTAAGATATTAACAATATTTTTTTTCTAGTACGAGGATATGTTACTGGAAGCACTGATACATCACTCTGGACAGTCTACAATAAAGGGGTTCGCAATTATTGCGGCAACAACCTTCCTGATGGTGTGGTTTGTATAATGCATGAATGCAACCGTTTTTGTTTTGGCCTTCGTCTATCTCCTTTTTTTTTTTTTCTTGAACTTGTTCTTATATTAAAGATGATTTCTTTTTGACAGGTCTGGTGAAAAATCAAAAGCTTACCGAAAATATACTTACTCCGACAACTAAAGCAGCAGATCATGATGTTCCTGTAACACCAGATGAGGTCTGTATTCTTTCTTCTTTCTTCTTTCTTCTTTCTTCTTTCTTCTTTTTCTTCTTACTTCCCTAGCAGTCTAGCTGTTCTTTTTATTTGCTCTTCTATAACTGAATAGGCTAATTTCTTACATGTTGATGGGAAATAATTGTAAGATATAATTACGTGAAATATGAAGAAGTGGCTAAAGATGCTAACTGGTCCCATTCATGGAAGGTTATATTGCGGTCTTTATGTTTCGCATCTTGTTAATCTGATGTTTTTGTCACAGTATATGATTTGGTTGACCTTGGTCCACTTCCTGGTATTAGAGTTAGAATTTCTGAACTTCCGAGTATTTGCATGCCAAAGCCGGGGCTATAGGTATATGTTGTAGTATTGAATATGTTGATTTGAGGTGCGTATGAAGCTAATCTGCTATATATAACTGCAGATAGTTCAACGCGGTCTTATGACTCAAGCTGATTACGATGAAGTCAGTAGGAGGGCAATGAGCTTATTTGAGTTTGGCCAGGTAAAAAATCTTGTGTTCTGTTTTATATGTTGTTGTATTGGGATTCTTTTCATGCCTTTCTTCAATAGCTATTAATGCCAGTCTCTCACTTCAATATTATTGTTGTTTCTTGATTTCAAGTTCTTCTTGATGTCTCAAAGCAGATTGCTTTAGTTGGTGCTGTTGAGGAAAGCAAATTGCTTTAGTTGGTGCTGTTGTCTTTTCCTCCTTGACTGTCTTAGTTAACTTCCAATCTTGGAATTGAGAAGTCAAGAGAGGCTTTCCATTCTGTATTCACCTAAAAAGCAGCATGCCCCATAAACGACATTGCTTAAAGAGCTCAAAATATGAATTTTATTAGATATTTAAAGTCTGACAGGATGCTACACCTATAATTAGTTATGTGTATACACCTCTGCTAATAGAAAACTTGAGCTAAGATGTAGAGGCCACATCGACCTTGATGAGTGAAGGTTGTCAGTTATAGCGATTTATAGGTGAAAATCTCCTTCTGTTAGTCTCTACATTTCCTTCCAGTTCTCAGATCTTTTTCCTACATATGTGAGTTGTAGACTTATATTAAGAGGTGAAGTAGTTTCCGGTCCTTCCTTGGAAATGCCTTGGTGTTCATATCTTCAAGTTGAGCTTCCATGTAATAATCATGTCTTCAATGAGTAGTTTCTAAAATTGTTGCTTGAGTAGAAAATTTCTATTTCATGCCTGGTTTATCAACTGTCATCATACCTACCTCAGCAATTCAGAAATGACTCTTGAAGGTTATACACTTTGGTATGGAGGTCATTCAGACTAGTAATGGTCAAATGTTCTAAACATAAAATTGTTATCCGCTCCGCAAGATAGCTGCTTCCAAGTACCCTGGGGAGACCATGAGATTGTGAGGTTTCATGGGGTAGCGCCTCAATAGGTGGAGCATTTGGTACATGAATGCTTTACTCAGGCTATCTGTCTCCAACGCCCCAAGAATGTCCATACACACTGTTATCCCAGCTGGTTTTCTTTAAGTATCTAACCTTAATTGTACATAATATGTTGTTGCTCTTTAGTTAATAATTTGATAAGAGTATATTATGTACATTATTAGTATGCCTAGATCTTTTGAACTTCATCCAAATTTTAATGGATTTCTGTGAGTTTTATATTTCAATCTCATTTTGAAATTTTATTCTTTTTTAAATAACTAGAACATAAAAAGATTTGTTGGGCTAATCTGTTTCCATGTTAGGCAAAAATATCCTGTCCTGCTTCTCAAATCTTTTAAAGAACTAATAGCTAGAGTTTTGAGCTGTACTTTGTGTTAGCTGTAGAGTGCATTTGAACTATTATAGGATAAATCTAACTTTTATGCAGTTGTATTCACTAACTTTTATATTGCAGCATGTAGCATTGGATCATGGGTTGATATTAGTGGACACCAAATATGAATTTGGAAAAGGACCCGATGGTCAAATTTATCTGATTGATGAGGTAAGCTTTAGATGGCCTTGTTTCTCTTTGACAATGACTCTACTTTTTCTCACTGAAGACCTCATCTTCTGCTTCCAACTTTTAGGTGCATACACCTGACTCAAGTAGATATTGGATTGCACATTCCTACCAAGAGCGCATTCAGAATGGTCTTGAGCCTGAAAATATCGACAAGGTTTCTTACATAATATGAAACTTAATCTGTATCCCTTAATCGCGTGCTCAAGCATTAATCTCAACTGGATTAAGAAAGTAGAAAACAACCATCTTAGGTTATATAGCTTTTAGTATGTTGTCGCTTGCAATATGCTGACTGACACTACAAATAATATTTGCCTAGGAATTCTTGAGGTTGTGGTTCAAAAGTCATTGCAACCCATATGAGGATGAGGTGATTGGTCTTTCTGCTCATTTCCTTGGTATTCAGATAACTTGTTTTTGAAATTGCACTAATAGAAAAATTGATTTTCCTGCTTAGGTCTTGCCTGATGCTCCAGAAGAACTTGTTTCTGAATTAGCTTGGCGGTATGTGTTCATGTCTTCCTATGTTATCACTGTCAAGCCAAAGCCTCCACTCTTTTTAACTAACAAAACCTTGAAACTTCACTTGATTGATTGTGATCTACTTGCACCAAAGTTGCCTACGATTATCATTATTCACTGTTTCCATTATTAATGCTGATTTCCACTTCATTAAGCAGATATATTTTTCTATTCGAGACAATAACAAATTCAAGATTCGAGATGCCTGAGACAAAGGTAAAAACCTATGTAGTAAAAGCACTATTGGATGACTGCAGCAGTTACTAAAACTTGTTCTTCATGCAGGAGCCAGTCCATGATCGGATCTCGAGAAATGTTTCACAGGCTTTATCATCATTGCAGTAATAACATCAAACAAGAGAGCATCTTGCATAAGTTTTATGAGGTGGAATAAGTACCTTCTGCAGTAATCTCTGAAGAATTGTATTTTAAGCTTGTCGTCGAGGAAGTCGGTCAATGTTGTAATGCTATGTGATTACTCATATAACAACAGTTATGCACCATCCCCAAGTAAGTTAGGGAACCATAAACTGTAAAGTTACTAGTTTTTCTAGAATTTTGGATTTTGATCATCCTAGTTTGAGTTAAAGAATAGTTGGCAGACAAAAGATATTTATTAAGTGTCACCTTCTGACTTATAAATGCTTGTTAGATCGTATAACTTTGATGGCTGCTCTTTGTGTGTGAATTTGTTTCAACACCAAAGTTGCACACATTGATGGGAAATGGAAAAATCAAAACCATTTTACTGCCATTAACTTTTCAAAAATAAGAGAATTGTCAACGTTGACAATCATGGAACATTTAGGACTCATTCTTCCAACTCTTTGATTACGTGCGTTTACATTTCTCACTTCCTTGTTGATCTGTCAACTTGTTTACGTAAATCTTTCATTTATGCTCGGCTGGAAATAAGACAAAATAATATTTTGATACATTCAACCTATGTTTTAGTCTAAGATCACATGATTTAAGTCTTTTTATTTTATTTTATTTTCAAAAAATTGCAATCAGATCAGAATTAGACAAACAAGTTGAAACGGATGGACAGATAGTTTGAAACGGATGGACAGATAGTTAGTGATATATCTTGTTTGGCAAATGAAAACACTATTGTTTTCTTTGGACATACTGAAAATAAAATAAATAGAATGTGCGTGGCAGATGGAATAATCACAAAACTATGTGAATAAGATTGCAGAAACTATCATTTTCCGACGAGATGAATAATGAATTTTTTAAGAGAAAGGAACGTTAATTAGCATTGAAAAGTCAAAAGAACCAATCATCTTGATAGTTTATGTTGACACGAAAGTACTAAAATACCTTCTAAGAAACTATTGGTAGACAACTAAACATTCATTATTTCACACTTGATTATCTCTAAGACTTGTAATATGCCAACATTTGGCAACAGACTTAAGGCCCACTTTGGCCTACACAGCAAGAATTGTACCACTATATAACAAAAGAGATTGAGTACCCTCTACAAAGCAAGAATCAGCAATGGCAAGTGAGAAAGTGAAATTGCTTGGATACTGGGCAAGCCCTTTTGCTCTGAAGGTTCATTGGGCACTGAAACTGAAAGGTATTGAATATGAATACCAAGAAGAAGATCTCTCAAACAAAAGTCCTTTGCTCTTGCAGTACAATCCAGTTCATAAGAAGATTCCGGTTTTGGTTCATAATGGGAAACCTATTGCAGAATCACTAGTCATACTTGAATACATTGAAGAGACATGGAAGCACAATCCACTCCTCCCTGAAGATCCTTATGAAAGAGCCAAGGCGCGTTTTTGGGCAAAATTTGTTGATGACAAGGTATAACCAATGTTCAAATATGAAAGAATCCATTCGTGTTACTTGTTTATCATCTGGCAGCAAATCACTCGATTATTCATGCTCTTTCTTTCTTTACAGTGTGTGCCAGGAATATTTGGTACCTTTGCCAAGGTCGGAGTGGAGCAACAGAAGATAGCAAAAGAAGCTCGTGAGAACTTGAAAATTTTAGAGGATGAACTAGGCAAGAAGCACTTTTTTGGAGATGCAAAAATTGGCTTCATGGATGTCACGTCTGCTTGGATCATCTGCTGGGCTCAGATTGTTGAGGAGGTTGTGGATATCAGACTTATTGATGCCGAGGAAATGCCTTCACTTGTTTCATGGTTTCAGAATGTCCTTGAAGCTGCTCCCATTCTGAAAGAGTGTACACCGCCCAAAGACAAATTGTTAGAGCATAACAAAGGATTTCACGAGATGTTGGTTGCTTCAGCACCATCTTAAAATCTAAAATCTGTTCCCATGTATGAAGATTTTACTAAATATGATTATATGACATGTAATCTTTTCGATGAGTTTGATGACACGTAAGATTTTGTGTTTTGCCTATCAAATACAATTGTGGGGAAATAAGGGCATACCGCATACGCATCTATGATCATGATATTATATAAGTCATCTTCTGTAAATTCGAGAAACTTCAACTATTTAAATGTAAAGAACATAGCACCTTGATAAAAAACGAGTGCCTGACTGTCAATATGCCACGCAAAATTTGAGTTACTTTTTAAGGATACGAGTTCCTTCAACTTTCTGCAAGTAGAGAATTTCATTGTAGTTAAGGGGGGGAGGGAAAAGGGCTGTTGAACGTTAAAAGAAACCCAGCATTGGCACATATGTAAGCTGCAAAGGACCAGAGACTTTGAACCATAATATAATCGACCATTCATGAGGAAGCAACCCTCCTCCATTAGTAAGGCTATACAGATCAAAACAGACATTCAGCTTGCATACATAAGTGATCTTAGACCTATTTGTTCAAAATCACTACCAATCATCTATATAAAAAAACGAAGTAACTCATCCATATCATCTCTATCATGACACGATTCCATATTAGTTTGGTAGGCATCAAGAACATACAGTGTCACAAAAAAATTTAGGATCTATTTTCTTTGGACAATTTGCCAAAAAAGCCTCAAATTGAAAGAAATATCATAATAGAACTACGACGTGCATGAAGTTCATTAATGCAACAGAAAATGTAAAAAGACATGCTTTTACTGCAGCTTCATCATCCTGTTGTAAATAATAAAACTCTAGCATTATTCATATGGAAGGGAGAGACTGAACAGAGACACTAAAGAAGCTTGCTAGGGTGAATCAAGCTAAAAGTGTAAATGATAAGAACACATCTCAAGATTGTTTTTTTTTTGGGCAGACGATACTTGTTGAATCAGATATATTCAGAAAAGTTGAGTTGTCCACCAATGCTTATATCTTACAGAGGACATAAAGGCTCAGGTGGTGCACAGAGTAGATTAAGATCAGTATATTTGATAAAGCTGAATCTTCATCTTAAACCTGGACTGTGCATAAGAAGCAAAATCATCTATCATAATAAAGACTTTGGTCCTGGCTGGCAGACTGTTTGCCTTTGGTAAGATATTCAGATATCATTTTTGGAATTTCATACGCGAATATCAAATGCCGAAAGTCTCAAGTATCATGAAAAAATAGTTAGTAGAATAAATCTACACTCTGGCTAGATAATAGAAAATGCAGAAGCCATAATCTTTCACCGAGTTACTCATATTGCAACTTCCAAGTGCAAAGGGAATCATGAGAAAAGAGAGTAGATTAATCAAACAAAAACTTACCAGTCGCTGCAGGATGCAGTCCCAAGAAGTCACATCCACTGTAATAAAAACTTACCAGTCGCTGCAGGATGCAGTCCCAAGAAGTCACATCCACTGTGCTCTTTATATTTCAAGCCGCATGCTTTGAGTTAGCACCAAGTGACAAAAAATTGTTCAACATGCTTGACATTCTAACCCATCTTCTGCCCTATGGATTTTGAGTTCTCAACAATGCAAAACGTCTGAACAGATGGCAGAGGTCTCATCATCCACGTCAATTCCATCATTCTGCATCATTTCAAGGATGTACAGTGGACTTTCTTCTCTTGAGATTTGCATTCTAAGCAATGACTTGTACACTTGTAAATTAGCAGGACCAAAATGTCTAAGAGTTGTAAGAAACTCCATAGCCTTCTCAAACTGTCTAGTTTCTTCGAAATATTCTGAAATTGCGACATCAATACTTGGTGATGGCCTCCATTCATAATGTTTTAGAGCAGCAAGACCACTTTTCAAGGCATCGGTAGCTTTATCCATTTGTTGACTCCTTATCCATCCTTCCACCAATATCTCCCAGGTTTTAGAATTTGGACATCCACCTTTCTCCAACGTGTGATAATGTAACGATTCAGCTTTTTCAACTGATCCATTTCTCATGTATCCACCGAGAAGAATGTTGGAGACTCTAATGTCATATGTTCTGCATTGAGACTCCCATTCCACAAAAATTCTCTCGGCCTCTCTCATGTCACAAAGCTTGACCAAAGACGACAAGATACACATGTAGTTGGCACAAGTTATCGGAGAGTTTACTGCTTTAGAGGCTTCCCAGACCCGATGTACTCCATCTTTGTTCTTTAAAGAAGCATACTGCGTTATGAGAAAGAAGTAAGGATAGTGATTACTGTTGGATATTTTCTTTTCAGCAGTTTTTAGGGCCAAAACTGCCTTGTCTGTGAGTCCTGCTTTCTTATAAATATTCGCTAATGTAGCTAAAGAGCTCCATCCCACTTCTACATTTTGGTTACTCAGCATCTCTTTGTATACCATCTCTGCTGATTCAACCCCAGAGAGCTCCCCACATGCGTCCATCCAGAGATTATAGGAGAGGACGTTTAAGGTTATTCGGTTTTGTTTCATTTGCAGGATGACTGATGGTACTTTTTGGTACTGAGATGTGGCCTTATAAAGCTTCATCATCTCATTAAACGGATGAGGGCTCAGAGCAAGTCCCAACTTATTTATCTTTAGCATGAAAGCTTCAGCCTTCTCAGTGGACCTTTCTTCAACATAACAATGAAGAAGAGGGAGGGAAGCAGCTTTCAGCGAAATAGTGCTTGTTAAACTCTCAAAATATCTTTCAGCTTCTATTCTACCGTGTTCTTTAACAGTTAATTCCAGTCGCCTGGCATAATCATGACGTAACATCTGAGAACAATGTTGAGTTTCCATCCAGTTAAGTATCTGCAAATAAATATAAAAAGAGAAAGAGATGTACATTATTGTCTCCATTACATGCTCAACCAGATCAAAAGGCGGAGATATTTCAGTATCATTTTGACATTTTTAACTTAACTAGCCATACTAAATCACATAATCAAGCACCCAAAGATACAAAATTCAACAAATTCAATTTGTTTAATTAAAAAAAAAAGAAAAACTGATGAGCAAATATAAACCTCCAAAGCAGGTCCAAATCGACGTCGTTTCATGAGCTGCCGTATAATCACCCTAAGCTCGTTTAGACAAACTCTACGGCCTTCATCCACCCAATTCTCAAGCACACTCCTCGTCGGGTTCACACCCGATGAAACCACCTTCAAAATTCGTTTTTTCAAATCACCCCCACCGGAATAACTGCCGTTAATCGGTGCCGCCTTGTTTGAAGAGTATGATTGTGACAGCACAAATCTCCATGTCCAAGAGCTTCCAAAACATGTACAATGATTTCCATGAGAGCGTAGAAATTACAGCATTGGAACAAAGAGAGAAAAGGGTGTTAATTACCTGTGAAATCTTGAAAGATTGAACCCAACTGGTACCTTGAACTGCATTTTCGGAGAGTGTGTTCTTGTTGCTTTGGGTATATCTTGTTTTGAGCTTTGGAGAATCATATGTTTTTGACGGTACAGTTTAGTCCCTAATGTATGAATTTTTTCCTATTTAAAATATATATATACCTTAAAATAAAAATAATTGAGCTTTTTAATATATTTTAATAAGCAAACAAATGTTTGATTGAGATTCTCTAAACTGTTCTTTTAATACAATATCAAGTATATTTTGTAATTTCGATTATTTTTATTTTCAGTGTCAACTAAAATATAAGCGCGATTCAGACATCATAGTATTCCTCATTAATGTGTGCATAACACATGTTTGACATACCATATGGCGAAAATGGATATGAGTAAATAATAGAATGAATTTGAGCAACTTTTATAACTTTAGACCCATGGTAATATTGAACTTTTTCAATAAATGCAATTAATTAATTATTGCTCACAATTACAGAGAAAAGCGGAAAAAGAAAACTATATTTTTCAGTCCCCAAAAAACAAATAAAATATATAGAACATGTTAAAAGAGTACAACTGGAACTATGCAAAATTCCAGAGACTTATCAGTAATTCTCTACAATTTTTGTAGGTAGAAAATACAGGGATACTTCTATGATATACTCAAACTCTCAACTTTCTAATAAAAGGCCTTGGATAAAATAGGCACTTCCTTTTTTATTTTGAGAACTATATAGGCATGTTAAATGCTAGTATATAATCTGAACTCGACCCAAAAGGTGAACGATAAAAAATGACTCTACCATGTGTATGTGATATAGCTACCAGGACTGTAGATGTTTGGGAAGTTCTCTCCAGATCAGATTGAAGCCGGAGAATAGCAAACTCTGTGCAGGTATGATGTTGAAAGCAGCTGGATCAGGGATTCTTGTATCTGCCGAGGACAGCTGACGCCTCCACAATCATAGTGTTTTGATTAACAATAGAAGAATCACTATCAAGAGTGAGAACTCAACCACAAACTTTGGGTTTGATACGCGTTCAAGCAACTGCTGCCACCTGTAAGTTCAACCAGTAGAGAGCTGCTGGTAAAGCCTGTTAACCATTTCCAGAATGTTCACCACATTCAGAATGGTGACTATACAAGCAGAGACGGTCAAAGCGAGAAAACACTAAAGCATTATGCCAGCTAAATGATATTGCGCAGCCAATCTCCAGTAAATAAAGATGTAGGTTATGTAAATTGTATATAGATTGTTTACCATAGCTCCAGTTTTAATACAGAAACAGTATAAGCATTCATGATAAGAGAGAATACGAGGACATTTCTTGAACTCTGAGAACACCCTCACCCCCACCCCAACCAACCCCTCAGAAAGAAACAAGGAAAAACTATCTCGTGTTTCAGTGACTAATAAAGAGCTTGAAAGATCTAATATCAAATTTGTATAAAACTCTGACAAGCAGCAAAGTTCTAATACTCTCTTTTTCCACCAATAATAAACACAAAAACATTTTAACATAATGCCAAAAGAAAAAGGGTCACATGAAAACAAGAAAGAGATGAGACATTCTACCCGAGTTCAGGAAGGACATGATTTACGAAACCTACCACAATAGAATCCAAAAAAGAAAAATAAGTGGAAGTGATGCAACAAACTTAATGGACAGCCGAAAAGAGATAAAAAACACATAGCTTCAAGGCTGTATACAAGGTTTTGCTAACCACCTACTGGGTCTGGCCTACCTGAAAAAGGACTACATCAATCCCGATCATAAATTTCTTGCCAAAAATTAGTATACACCTCCAAACAAATGGTGAAACCAACTGATATAGTTAGTGAAGTTCAATGAGTAGTTGAAATCGCTAAGCAAGGATAATTTTGATCACGTATTTACGGTATAGCATAATAACTGGAAAGAAGGCTAACCCCATTATCTCCGGGTTTTTTTTTTTGGAGGGGAGGGGGGCGCTAGAAAAATAACTTTTTGTAAATTATTTCAATTGACTTTTAACAGTATGTACTTGTGGTGAACTTCTCAAATAGTCATGGGAACATTCACATGCATCAAAGATAGCACAAATTTTCCAGTTATAGTCTTCTTAAATTAGTTAACAAAAAAGTTCAAAGAAAGCTGAGTAAGCAAATACTTCTGACGGATCAGTCATGTCATGCATTCAAAGACAATAAAGAATAAAACTTACAAATTTACTTCTCCATCCATGTAATCTCCATTAACAACTTCCTCCTGTGCAAATTCTTCCATTATAGCACGCTGCCGTTCATTCAATGCTCTACAAAAGAGAAGAAAAAAGAGCATCTGTGAAATTTCTGCAGCAAACTCTAGTGGAAGTTCACGAGCAACATAAAAATAGAAAAATAAATGAAAAATGTTTGGTCAGAAGAATTTCATCTGATAAGCTACTACCTTCATCCATAATACTTGATCTACTTTGTCAAATTCTCCAGAAAGCTTGATTTGGGAATTTCATATCATGATTTCACATTTTCTACTATATTAGAAGAGTGAGTAGGACATCAGGTATGAACGTCTGTTAATGGTAAATTTTCTTATCAATTGAGGGTATTTCCATCATCTCAATTTGTTGCCCTATCTTCATCTCATTCCACGTGGTTGTGTAGCCAGCTTCATTATGCGTGGCATCCATGCGTGTTTTCTTATTGTTATCCGCCATTGAAGATGAAGAGGCAGACAAAAGCATTTGCCTTCAAAACTTTTTCCCTTCCATCTTCTCCAACTGCAACTTCAAGGTAAAAATTTTTTAATCTCTCACTTCTTCATCTCCCTCCTCAATTTTTGTATTTGAAATCTTTAATTTTTAATCTTCATATGTTCTGAATATATTTACAATGCTTTCGTTTTATATTGGATTCAATGAACTTTGAATTTTAGAAGAATCGAAATTAAGGCCAACAATATGACATATTAATTTTCAAAGAACCATACATTTGGCTGAATAGATTTATAAAGCTTTGCTATTAGATTTAGTTTTCTTCACTTTGTTTCTGCTTTTAATTTGAAATTGCAGGTTGTGAATCTCTAATTGTAGGAGCATATTGTGATTTAGCTAACTTAGTTAGCATTCATGTTTATTAGAGAGTTTTGAGAGGAACATCAAACTTAACTTAGTTAGCACTTCGACAATAGCTTTGTCGGCTATGGTCTCCGTCATCTAACACTTATTTACTATCATATGAAACATTAGAACTTTTAACACTTCACTAAATGCCTACACTGGTGGAGATAAAGTCTTATACTAATAACATATGGAATTCTAATTGTTGTAATTATGCAGAATCATAGAGACCTAAAATTTAGAATCTCTGCACTAATACTTGAACCAAATAAACTATAGTACTACTAGGGCAACATAGGTTTTATAATCCTTGCAAGAACTTTGGTATGTCATATAAAAACATAAAAAGAAAAGAAATGAATTCTATTTAAAAAACTGAGTCACCCAATATTCATACTACTGCAACAAGATATAACAAAAACCAGGTAATTACAACTATCTTTCATCATGCTTCATTATTTCAGTTTGTTACAAGTCTTCCGCACAAATCTCTTACCCCAACTATAAACATCTACATATTGACTTAGCCAAATATAAGCTTTCAATCGTCAACCGGAGTGAACGATGAATAACTTACATTTTTATTTCATTGACTGCTAAGCTTATAGGATGCCAATACAAATCCATTTGTAGTAAACTTTTGAGGACTGCAACATCATAAACTACAATATGCGCACTTGCCTTCTCTCTGGTTTCTCCCTATTGCAGTCCTTCCTTCTGTGTCTCGCCCACAATTTACTTAGTTATTGAATTAGGAGAATCAAATTGGTATTTGATATAGCCAAAACATTCACTCTTTCAACCTTTCCATAATTTTTATATCGGAGTTGTTCACATTGTGTAAAATTGTTCAGACGATTGTGAAAGATAGTGATATTATCTTTAATGGTTGAGCTAAGAAGAAGTAGGTGAATAAAGATCCACCAAGTGCAAGGTACAGTATGAAAGTCGTGCCCTGCCTATTACAATAATGACGATGGAATTGAGACTTTTTAAATAAATAACTAGAGAATTAGCACATTTCAGAACTCACTAACACATCTAAAAACCAGCTAACCCAAGAATTCCTAAAAGTACCACCCATATTTGAGTAATGACCTGATATCAACTATATTTTGATGAGAGCATATAAATTTTCAGAAATTAATTTTCACTTTTCATACATATGTGGAGACAATCTTAAACAAGCTATACCTCTTGTTTAGATATTGCCCCTGAAGAAATTGGATAAAAAGGTTCATTCATAGCATTAATCTCTCTGTCGTACTAATCATTAGTAGTCTTGGAAGTGAATAGTGTGCTCGATGATTGAAGGACCTACCGACTTGCATTAACAAAAGTACACAACAAAACATTTAGTTCTTAGAGTTGGTCGAATAATTTGCGCAACAGAATTACTAGATCTGTTCTTGATAAAAAATTGTATGGAACCAACCAAGTGTGACTGAAACGATGCTAAACATTGTTCAGTTTTTATTTTTAAGCTTTCCTACAATTATCTAAAGTAATCTGCTATTTCTGCTTGCTCTCTTTCAGGTTTCCTTTTGTGTTATTGTGATATTGTTCTCAAGTTTGTTCAGCTTCCTTCACTTTTGTAAGTGTCAATAAAACTCAAGCCTTCCAACAGTAAACTCAGATCAGTCATCAGATAACCTAATAAAAGAGACTAAAAGATATCTTTCACTACCTCTTCCTCCTTTCTTCTTTTTCCTCTTTTTTTCTTCTTATTTGTTGCTCAACACGTAGGAGAAGGGATAACAATTTTTTCATTTAATAATAAGATTTTTACAAAGTTTATCTTCAGTGTGGGGAAAAAGAAATCTCTATCGCTTGCTAAGATGATATCGTTCATACATCAAACTATTCAAATATAATACAAGCATTCCTGGAAACTTCATGGCATTACGTCAAATGCTTTGAAATAAAATGGATAACCACAACTACACCTTCGGGAAAAAATGGGCAACCACAAATACACCTTAATTTGTTGGTAATAGAAATTATCAACTTCTCTTCTTTCACTATTCCCCTCTGCTTGGTCTTTGATCTTTTCTTTTAAAGATGAATTTCAAAGAGGCAATAATATTTTTCTTATCTATGTTATAAAATTACAATGGCTGAAGGGTCAAATTGTTTCGTAATTCCTCGCCCTCGCAGACCTCAGCTCATATAAAGGTTATAGTTATTATGCAACTTTGTTGGAAAAAATCGTCAAATTTCTTACTAAAAGAAATTTAGAGCCTGTTTGGCTCAGCTTAAAAGCTGGTCAAACTAACTTAAAAGCTGGTTTTTGACTTATTTAGCTGTTTGGCAATACGCAAAATAACTTATTTTAAGTTTAAAAAAAACTTATTTTAAGCCAAAAGTTAAAAGCTGAGATAGGGGTGCTTTTTCTTTTTTAGCTTATAGCTATTTTAAGTTGACCACATTTTTATCTTTTTGCCCTTAATATTTTTATACAATCTCCAAATTACCCACATAACCCTAACATCTCTTTCTTTCATTTTTCCCTTTTCACGTTTGGCATAGCAACTTCAGCACTTTTATCCAAACGCGTAACTGCTTATTTTAAAAATAAGTTTTAGCACTTTCAAAAGTACTTTTTTAAAGTTGCTTTTATTAAGCCCATCCAAACGGCCCTTAAAGTGCTTACACACTATTTCTCCAAGCACAACTGTACAATAACTTAACAACATAAAGAATTATCTTAAAACTGGATAATTGTCATCCGTTATTTTAATTACTTTTTATGCTTCCTATGTACGGTGCCTCTCCACTTAATTATACTGCTACATTGCTAGAATAATCTTCCATTCCTATTTTTTTTTTTCACATTTGA